GCTTTTCAACTGCTTTTGATTCCGTTCAACCCCGAGTTAGCCGACTGTACGAGTATGGTATATCTGAAGTCACTTGAAATAGCATAAAAGCCTTTGGTCGGCGCGTCCTTTGTAATTTCATGACGTATCATAGGTGTGCGGAAATTTATTTAGAACGATAATAATAATGTTTTTATATCACAATAAATGGATTTTACTATTTTCTTATTTTTTTGATTTGGGATAAAAAATACTTATATTGGGAGTTTAATTTATGTTGACTGAAAGTTAAGAAATGGAAAAATTACAGAATTCCAACGTTTGACATAGGCAAATATTTACATAGCAGGTAGGTATATAAAAAGGTATATAAAGACTTACATTATAGGTATTTATATATCATCCTCGCCTTCGGAGCTGTCGCTAGAGTCATCTTGTAGAGGAATTACAACGGGATTTACAGGAGGCAAAACACAATATTCATTTTCTTTTTCAATAATATGCCTAGAACACTGCTTCCATAGGTCTGTGGCAGCAATATGAGATACTGCATCTCTTATTGTGGCCAATAGCGATTCACTTAATTGAGGGGTCTGATTATGTTTTCTTACTTTTTTTTTAAAGCAGCCCAGACCAACTCAATCGGGTTAAAAATGCAGTAATAGGGAGGTAGACGTAATACTTCATGGCCATTTTGCTGAAGCAGATTGTCAACAACATACTCTTTTTCAAATTTTTGTCTTTTAATAAGATCCAATAAATGGCTTTGGTTGGTTTTTGTGGTATTTCCATTCCCTTATCCTTCATAAAATCAATGTCTTGTTTTTTTGTGCCTGTATTCGGAATTTTGTTTTTCTGTCGGGAATGGTATGGCGCATTGTCCATAATAATCACTGAATTTGGGGAAATGTTTGGTATTAACTGCTGCTCTATCCACTTTTCAAATAAGTCGGAGGTCATGTCCTCATGATAGTCGGCACATGATTCTTTGATATTTTTGGCAGATAACAGCAAGGCATTAGGTATAAATCCATTTGCACTGCCAGCATGGAGAATAATGATTCGTTTTCCACGGTTGCATGGTGCATTTAAAATGCACTTGTTGCTGTCGTCAACCCAGCCGTACTGCACAACATCATGGGTATCATACCACGTTTCGTCCAGGTAAATCAGATTTCTTTTCTGCTCTCTATAGATTTTAACTTTGTGCAAAAATTCTTGGCGCAATTCAACGATTCGAGACGACTCCATAATCACCATTCTTTTATCTAATTTTTTGTATTGAAAACCACACAGTTTTACAATACAGTGCAGTGAGTCTAAGCATTTGTAATTATAAAATCTTCAGGATAATCTTTTAATTTATCCCGTATCATTTCCAACGTGGGCACCAAATTTTCTTTATAAAATCCGTATATTATACGACGAATATCTTCCCAAAAACCCACGTCTATTCTTTTTAATTTTTGCCCTATGCGCTTTCTGTGGAAGGAATGGTTGACTACATCTCCCCTTTTTACAACCCGATAAATGGTAGACCGACTGATTTTTGTCAGGATACAAATTCTGTTTAAAATTTGATTTTGCGAGGAATCTGGATTTTCGTTTTCCAGACAATCATACATATTTAGGATTACTCTTTGGGTCTGTCCCTCTAAATCTTTATGAAAGAATTCTGCCTGCACAGGTTCATCAACCATCTCCTCGTGGCTTGGAGCATTTTCCCAAGGTCTCCAAAGAGCCATATTTAGGACACACAAGAACAATCAACACAACAATTAAGTCAACAAGTAAACTGAGTATTCAAAAGTCAAAAACACACAAACTAATAAAATCTATGAAAAAACACGGACAGACTAAAGAAAACACGTTTATTCACCGCTACACGGCACTGGCTAAACTGTTTCAATTTTCAGTAGCCACCTGCACTCGTTCGGAGCTCTGATATACACGCTTTCTCATTGGCTAGGTCCACGCATAGGCGTGCTTTACTCCACGTGGACCGGTGAAACTGCCTTTGATCTTATACGGGGGATATATGCTGCGAAATTTGGCGATATTTGCAGCAACAGAGCGTGTTAAATATAGATATATAAAACGCACCCGGTATTTCACAGTGTTTCAAGTGACTTCAGATAAAGTATACCTGATTCATCTCATTTGTAAATATAGCATAAAAGCCGGTATATCCAGAGCGTGCATTAAGTGTACATATTTGCTGCCAATATACCAGTTTGTGTTTTATGCCTTGCTTTTAATAATAAATACCGTCTTGTCTGAAGTAAGAGATACAGAAAGGAGACGTTGCAGTAGTAGATGGAAAATAGTAATTATCTCGAGTCTGACCCTTCGAGCGTTAAGCATCAAATCCCTGAATTATTTTCAGGGTAACCGTTCCAGTCTATAGTGTTGTCTTCATACTTTAAACATGAGGCTGGCGTCTGAGGAGTTGCTCAATTAGAGATTCAGATAGTTTTCCAGTTAGTGACCTGAGTAAATCAGGAGTAAATATTTATATTATTATTGTTTTTGTCAATTCCAAGGAGTTGTTCCTGAAGAGCAAGGTGCCAAGGCTATGCATAAAATGGATCAGGGTGTCCCGAAAAAAGTGGGAAATAGCCTTCCAGCGGTTTCTAGAGCTTAAAATAGGAAGAAAAGTTTAGACAAACATAGGTCTTCAAACGTCCTCCCTTAAGGGCGCTACGGCCTTTTTAAGGAGTTCCCCTGAAGATAGTTTTTCCTTAATATTTCCGAAACGTGTTGAGATAAAGACATAAAACTTGGCATTCTAGCCTAGTTTTTTATGCTGGATTTAAAAATATTAACAATCTTAGACAGTTTTGTTTGGAATCGTATGTAACAGGGACGGACTCAGGTTATTTTAGCCCCAAAATTTTTGTGCGATTCTATTTTTGAAATTCAATTTTAGAATTTGAAATTCTAGGGTTTTCTACATAAAAAAGGTACTCTTATTGAATATCGATAAATTGTGCCATTTTTGAATAAAATCAAACTAAATGATTTGTCACATGTTAGGAAATGTACAGCGAATTTAAATGAATTGTTGAATAATTAGGTATGGCAACGCAAAAACTAATTTAATAATTGCTAAATATTACATAAATACATATTTCTATTGCAACATAGCTAACATTTAGGCAAAACAAAAGAAATAAATTTTTTCTACGAACGAAATTGAAATTTGTTTAAAAAAGAAGACATACAGTTGGATATACTTAAAACCAGCTTTATAATGAGTGTTCAAATAAATTCCCATTTTGTTGGATACAGTCTGGCTTTTTCTTCTTATTTCATTTGCAGCCTGATGGATTCTTTGAAGTAAATCTTCTTGAGTATTTACTTCAGTCGAGTAAACTATGTCTTTTAATGACCCCCAAAAATAGAAATTCAATGGATTTAGGTCAGGTGAACGTGGCGGCCACGCTATAGGACCTCCTTGGCCTAACCACCTGTCTGGAAAATTGAGATTCAACCAATTTCGAACATTGCGTCCAAAATGTGCAAGGGCGCCATCATGTTGAACAAACATATTTTCTTGAAACTGCTGGCGCACACCCAATGGTATTATATTCATGAGCACATTCTGAAGAAAGTTCAAATACACCTCTGAATTAAGAAGATTTAGAAGTACAATAGGCCCAGTTACTTGATCCCCCATTACTCCTGCGCATAAGTTCAATGAAAATCTATGTTGGAAATTTGTACGGCGAACAACTTTTGGATTTTCATCTGACCAGTGATGCATGCTATCGAAATTAAAAGCACCATTCCTAGTAAATATTGACTCATCCGACCATAATATTCTAGGAATACTGTTTTCATTTGCTAATATCCACTGGCAAAACTCGATCCGTGGTAAAAAATCTGCCTCCGTTACATGCTGCACCCGTTTAAAATGATAAGGATGTAATCCTTGCATTCTTGTCAACCTTCCTATCTAAAACTATTATTTTTAAGATAACTATCAAATAGATATTCATAAATTTTTCTTACTATTGATCGAGGTATATCCATAATTTCTGAAACATTTCGTATGCTTATTTGCGGATTATTTTCAAACATATTTAAAGCAATATCCATACGATGATTTCCCAGTGGCCTTCCTGAGCCCTGCATGAGCTGAAAACTTCCATGGCTTAACAAATTCCGGTGAATATCAGTAAACATTCGACGTCCAGGTACCATGCGATTGGGAAATCTTCTTTGATATTCTCTTACGGCTGCCAATGAACTGCCATTGCAAAACCCGTACACAAAATGCATGTCAGTCAGTTCTCTGTGTGTAAATCTTGGCATTTTAAATCGATTTAATAAAAATTTTGATTTCAATCTAGTAATTTTACTCTGCTAATAATGTCAGCTCAACGTCAAGATATGTCATAACAAATCAAAACAACTTTTATTTGCGGTCATGGCTAACTATGTATAATCAACAATTCATTTAAATTCGCAGTACATTTCCTATCATGTGACAAATTCTTTAGTTTGATTTTATTAAAAAATGGCACAATTTATCGATACTCAATAAGAGTACCTTTTTTATGTATAAAACCCTAAATGTTCAAATTCTAAAATTGAATTTCAAAAATAGAATCACACAAAAATTTTGGGACTTAAATAGCCTGAGTCCGTCCCTGTTACATACGCTTCCAAACAAAACTGTCTAAAATTGTTAATATTTTTAAATCCAGAATAAAAAACTAGGCTAGAATACCAAATTTTATGTCTTTATCTCAACACGTTTCAGAAATATTAAGGTAAAACCATCTTCAGGGGAGCCCCTTTATAAGACCGTAGCGCCCTTAGGGGACGTTTGTCGACCCATGTTTATATAAACTTTTCTTCTTATTTTAAGCTCTAGAAACCGCTGGTAGAATATTACACACTTTTTTCGGGACACCCTGTAGATAACTTCTATCAAGCAACAAGTGAGGTGCTTGTCCGCTTTTGTTTTCAAATGCTTCAAAATACACAGAAATAGGAAAAGGAGCTTCTCTCACCTTAGCCACACCATCTAATGACACATTAGCAGCTGCCCTAGCTTCTTTCACTTTCCCTTTTTCCAAAAGTGGTGTTAGTATCAGTGGTTCACCAACATATTCTCCATGATACTCAACCTCTTGTAATTTGAAAGGGCTTATGTAAGAGCCTAATGCGCTAGATATGAAAAAACATGCCAATAAGGGCAGTAAGTCTATCTGGAGATTCATCTTAAAGTGAATAACTAGCACCACTCCTCATATGTGTTTTTATAGTGAACTGGCTTTAAATTTATCTGGGACAGGTAAATTTGTGTTGAGATCAAAAGATTCCAACACGATTACAAATATTTTTCTGATTTAACTTTCCGTGCGGTGAGGAACTACTGTAATCGCGGAAAACTACGAATCGGAGTGTCGTGTTTCCGCGATGTAAACTGGTGGACAGTTGTCTTGCAACATAGAAAATTTTATCAATCTCAATATTTTCGGAACGGAAAGTGATATCGAATTGCGGTGTTCGGTCGGTTGTTGACCAATTTTTATTTCTCTAAGTGCTATGAGGCTGGCCAACACTACTATTCATCTTTTATCTGGAATTTTTTATGTTTCTCATTCAGCATTGGCGCACGCGCCTTCTTAGGATATGCTTCCCACTAGGTAATAGACTATTAAATTTTTCAACAACATAAAATAATTTATTGATCAACATTAACGATATGTAACATTTCAGAAAACGAAAATTTGAACTCCAGTTAAATACCTAAATTATTTAAATGAACTTTTTAAAGAACATCAACAGTTATTTTAAACAATATTGTTAGTATACTTTATCTGAAGTCACTTGAAACACTGTGAAATACCGGTTGTGTTTTATATATCTATATTTAACACGCTCTGTTGCTGCAAAAATCGCCAAATTTCGCAGCAAATATCCCCCGTATAAGAGATCAAAGGCAGTTTCACCGGTCCACGTGGAGTAAAGCACGCCTATGCGTGGACATAGCCAATGAGAAAGCGTGTATTTCAGAGCTCGGAACAAGTGCAGGTGGCTACTGAAAATTGAAACAGTTTAGCCAGTGCCGTGTAGCGGTGAATAAACGTGTCTTCTTTAGTCTGTCCGTGTTTTTTCATAGATTTTATTAGTTTGTGTGTTTTTGACTTTTGAATACTCAGTTTACTTGTTGATTTAATTGTTGTGTTGATTGTTCTTGTGTGTCCTAAATATGGCTCTTTCGAGACCTTGGGAAAGTGCTCCAAGCCACGAGGAGATGGTTGATGAACCTGGGCAGGCAGAATTCTTTCATAAAGATTTAGAGGAACAGACCCAAAGAGTAATCCTAAATATGTATGATTGTCTGAAAAACGAAAATCCAGATTCCCCGCAAAATCAAATTTTAAACAGAATTTGTATCCTGACAAAAATCAGTCGGTCTACCATTTATCGGGTTATAAAAAGGGGAGATGTAGTCAACCATTCCTTCCACAGAAAGCGCATAGGGCAAAAATTAAAAAGAATAGACGTGGGTTTTCAGGAAGATATTCGTCGTATAATATACGGATTTTATAAAGAAAACTTGGTGCCCACGTTGGAAATGATACGGGATAAATTAAAAGATTATCCTGAAGATTTTTATAATTACAAATGCTTAGACTCACTGCACTGTATTGTAAAACTGTGTGGTTTTCAATACAAAAAATTAGATAAAAGAATGGTGATTATGGAGTCGTCTCGAATCGTTGAATTGCGCCAAGAATTTTTGCACAAAGTTAAAATCTATAGAGAGCAGAAAAGAAATCTGATTTACCTGGATGAAACGTGGTATGATACCCATGATGTTGTGCAGTACGGCTGGGTTGACGACAGCAACAAGTGCATTTTAAATGCACCATGCAACCGTGGAAAACGAATCATTATTCTCCATGCTGGCAGTGAAAATGGATTTATACCTAATGCCTTGCTGTTATCTGCCAAAAATATCAAAGAATCATGTGCCGACTATGATGAGGACATGACCTCCGACTTATTTGAAAAGTGGATAGAGCAGCAGTTAATACCAAACATTTCCCCAAATTCAGTGATTATTATGGACAATGCGCCATACCATTCCCGACAGAAAAACAAAATTCCGAATACAGGCACAAAAAAACAAGACATTATTGATTTTATGAAGGATAAGGGAATGGAAATACCACAAAAATCAACCAAAGCCATATTATTGGATCTTATTAAAAGACAAAAATTTGAAAAAGAGTATGTTGTTGACAATCGGCTTCAGCAAAATGGCCATGAAGTATTACGTCTACCTCCCTATTACTGCATTTTTAACCCGATTGAGTTGGTCTGGGCTGCTTTAAAAAAAAAGTAAGAAAACATAATCAGACCCCTCAATTAAGTGAATCGCTATTGGCCACAATAAGAGATGCAGTATCTCCTCCTGTAAATCCCGTTGTAATTCCTCTACAAGATCACTCTAGCGACAGCTCCGAAGGCGAGGATGATATATAAATACCTATAATGTAAGTCTTTATATACCTTTTTATATACCTACCTGCTATGTAAATATTTGCCTATGTCAAACGTTGGAATTCTGTAATTTTTCCATTTCTTAACTTTCAGTCAACATAAATTAAACTCCCAATATAAGTATTTTTTATCCCAAATCAAAAAAATAAGAAGATAGTAAAATCCATTTATTGTGATATAAAAACATAATTATTATCGTTCTAAATAAATGCCGCACGCTTATGATACGTCATGAAATTACAAAGGACGCGCCGACCAAAGGTTTTTATGCTATTTCAAGTGACTTCAGATACACCATACCTTGCTCAATTATGTTAGTTCTGGAGACTTTGATGACACAGGCAACAATGAAACATTATCTTCTGCCACAAAGCTTATAACCAAATGAGCTCCGTGCGGCCTGGCGTTATAATAATAACAATAATAATAGTCATAATAATAATAAGAGTCTTTTATTTCATTTACATAACACATACATGAAAAAATCAAGTAGACTGGTGGCGAAGTACAGCCGCAGGCTACTTGACTAAAAAAAATTAATAATATTTTTCAGACAGAAGATAAATTTTACACAAAAAGTAAGCAAGCAATGGAATATACATAAATATGCAAATAGCCGGGTTGAAGAAGTAGATTCCTAATATAACTATCGTCGATGAAGACAAAATACTTCCCAAAATCTTGTGCAAAAGGTACAACAATGTTGTTTGAAATATTGTCCTATAAACGGCAGCATTGACTGTCCTAATCGTTACAATTCTTTAAAAACTTTCAAAATAGGCTCCTTCTGCGTCGATGCAGCGCTGCGAGCGCGATTTCCAAGGATTGAAGGCATCACGGAAGGCATTCTCCGGAATAGCCTGAGAGCTGCGGTGCATACTGCTTGGATCCCCTCTGTCGTCTCAAAATGCTTGCCTTTCATCGGCCTTTTCAGGCGAGGAAACAAAAAAAGTCCGGGGGGGTGGGGCAAATCTGGGCTGTAGGGCGGCTGCGGAAGCGTTGGGATGCCGGCCTTGGTCAGGTTCACAAGAAAGGCGGTGTGAGCCGGGGCGTTGTCGTGGTGCAACTTCCAGTCGGCTGCGATGTCTTGTCGGACCCGACTGACCCTTCGTTTGAGTCTCCTGAGCACTTCCACGTAAAACTTGGCGTTGACGGTTTATCCAGGAGGAACAAATTCATGGTGGACGATGCCTTTGATGTCAAAAAAGACAATGAGCATCGTTTGCTCATTCTTCCCTTTTTTGGGCGAGGAGACGCCGTCGTGTGCCACTCGGAAGATTGCCTCTTTGTCTCGGGATCATACTCAAAGATCCACGACTCGTCACCTGTGATTACGTTATTCAAAAATTGGGGGTCACTTTCACACATGTTCAAATTTTCTTGGCACACTTCCACTCGCCGCAATTTCTGGTCGTCAGTGAGCACTTTTGGCATCATCTTCGCCCACACCTTGCGCATGTTCAAATGCTGTGTCACAATGTCAGGGACCACAGATTTTGGTAAATTTAACATCTGGGCAATTAAACGAATACTTAGTCGACGGTCTGAGTTCAAAGCTTTGCGCACACCAGTCACATTATCGGTGTTTGTCGAAGTCGAAGGTCTTCCAGCACGGTCTTCATCAGCGACCTCTTCCCGGCCCTCCAAAAAGGCCTGGTGCCACCGAAACACACCACTTCTTGCTAAACCAACACCTGGGTAAGCCTGCTTGATCGTATCAAACGTCTCTATCGCAGATTTACCGAGTTTCACATAGAATTTAATCGCGTACCTCTGCTCTAACGAACACTGCATTTTCGGCTTGCACCACTCACAGAAACACGTCGCACGAAAATGCCTGTCCTGACTCTCCAAGTGCTCGGGGACAACTGACCAGCCGCTCATTCGTTAGCTAGGAACGCGCTCTACCGAATCCAGTCGGTGCGCGCACCCTCCGAAGTACAGTCATGGCGGAAGAAAATGAATCCTATTACTTTCCGGACACACCCTGTACATACCGATAGTACCCTACACGTGTTTTCAAACAGTTGGTCAAAAACTTCCGGAATACCGCAACTCGATATATCTTTCCGTTCGGAAAATACCGAGATTTGAATTTGGGTAAAATTTTCCATATTGCAAAGTTTTAAGACTTGTACTCGTACATCAGGAAAAGCCATATCAGTCGTTTTAATCGGCCTGTCTGCATGCCAATTCATCTGTCCCCTAACCCTTGGTCCGTTTATAACTACTATACCAAGGGCGTACAGGCTCTGTAGTTTTAAAAAAATTTGCCCAGTGGTGAAGGAGCTAGAAACAAACCACGAATAGAACAATGACTGATAAAACTTTGTTCCAGAGAGTCCTGATAACTAATGAAAATTCTCAGAAGACTTGGTATTCTACACTATATAGGGTTTTCCGAATCTGCTAGCACGCTTATGTGCCACTATTTAACTAACAGAACACAATATGTAGAAACAGATAAAGGTATGTCCTCCAAAGATGTTATCCCATCGGGTATTCCACAAGGCTCCATTTTAGGACCTCTGATTTTTAGTATTTATACCTCAAACCTTCCCAATGTCTCTGAAGTTGTCAGGTACATTTGTACTCTGACAATACTCAGCTTTATTTTTCTTTCAATCCTAACGAGAAACGTGATGCATTGCCGATTATTAATCCAGATATTGAAAGATTAGTTGTATTTTCGGAAAATCATGGT